GGGTTTTCGCTTTTGCAGGCTGGGAACTCAGGTTCTACTGGAACAAGAGCAGCAGAGACACACTGGAGAGGGATGTGGGATACTACTAATAATATATCTAGGATGATTTTGACGGGTGTAGGAAGTGAAGCATCAGCATGCTGTGCTAGCCTAGTTGTTGCTGGTATTTCCTCCTTCTGTCATGGTTTGYCTAGATTAGGAATGCTGTAGTCCACACAGAGAGCTTACTATGTACCCWAAGTAGCAAGGAACTCACTAGTGCTCAGTGGTAACTTTTCTATCACTTGGACTTCCAATTTTGGTTTAAGTACTTATTAAAATGTGATAAAAATGAAATATATATTGTACACAGAACTTCAATGAAATTATTTTCAAGATAGGCTGAATGAACATTATGCCTTGTTTGGCCTTAAATGATGCTTTGTGCTTTCAAAATCTGAGCTGGAAGTGGTAATCTAATTTGAGTTTCAGATCAAGTGGCTGTAGGGTCAAAATGAATTAATTTGTTTCAAGTTCCAAATCTGTAGCAGAAATAAAGTTTATGCTGATAGAAATACATAATTCTGAGCAAACAAAAACTCCTGAGTGATGCAGAACACATCACGGCATTTGGTAAATTTGTTACAAGGTTAGTTCCTGGTGATTGTTTTTCTATTTCTGTAGGATTTAGAATTCACATTTCCAATTTCTAGATACTATTTTCACTTYGCAGATGGGTTGCTGGGCAGGAAGGGTTTCTGTGGTGTGCCCAAGGCTTTAAATAAAGCAGTGAAGGCTAGAATTGATCTGCCTGCTTCTGATCTTCTCCCTCACCTGGCTGATGGAAGCTTTCAGAGCTCTGCCTGGGTGTGCAGTGCAGGACTGTTGTTTGTGTTGCTGATGATGCTTTTTCCTAGCAGTCAGATGTGGCTTTTGGGCAAGAACGTTGAGGGCACAAATCTTGTCTGTAAACTGTGAAAAACTAGAGTTTTCTGTGTCATTTTTTTCTGGTGCTGTGCAGAGGCATGACCCACCATTGACCCTCCCAGCAGGGAGCACTGAGGAAGAGAGCAAAGGAATTGGAAATGGGAAATGAAGGTAGGGGTAAAGGCATTACCTGTTAATTGTACAAGACATGGTCCCATTCGTGTGAGCAGTTGTTTGAATATATTTTGCACTTGGGTGGGCTAAGGTGACCTGATCAACAAGAAAATGATTTTGTACTGGAAGTCAGTCTAATGCCAGTTATCTTTTGTTTTGGATATTTCTAGGCAATGGAATAAATAATATTGAACTGTTATTGCTAGATTTAGTAGTTTGCTTTCTTTGTTAGTTAAGTTTTGGGTTCAGCTTTAGAAGGTACCTGGTCCATAATAAAGTTAATAGAACTTGATTTGGTTGTTCCTGACAGARGGTTCCTTGGAAGGACTCTGTYAGGGTTTTGTCAGTCCTTTAATTTRTTTGTTGTTTGGCTAAAATGAGTAGATTACTTCACCACCRGAGAGGCAAATAAACAACCTAAAGACTGCAAAAAATGTAGGTAGCTTTGTGTGTTAGTAAAAACTATGGCAAATACTGATGAATGCATGTATTGGATTCATTGTTGTAAAATCATAAAGCCTTTTTTAAAACTGAGCTCATTACGAGAGACTTGTTGAAGAAAAACTATAATAAACCCAGCAATTTAGTAGAAAACACTCGTTTTATAGAAGCAGTTTTATATAATGGTCATTATGTCTGCCCTGGTTATTGTGCATGCTTGGAAAACAGGCAAAAAAGGGAAACATTTAYTTGTTTCCCATTGTATGTTTGAACTGAATGGTGTCTTCTACTGCCTGCTTTATATTTCTGTATAGGTCATTTTMGCCAGGCCAGCATAAATTTATGTCATCTTAAAATACAGAGCTGCGGGTTCAAAAAGCTACAAAGGTACAAAGGTCATTATAATTGGGATTGAATGAAAACATCAGACTTTTATTTTAAACTAAAAGAGAAGCAGTTTACTGCATGTTAAAGGACTGTATTTTGTTTGTTATAGTTTAAATAGCCCCAAATGCCGAAGTATCATGTATTCCTCCCCCTGTTCTGTTCTCCAGGTTAGAAGTGACAAAATGGTTATGGGTCCCAAGCTTTYAGGGCTTTTTTGTCAATGACTTTATTATCAATTGAAGGAGAGAAAGAGGGAGAGTTTGATTTTCCTGGTTATAAGAACATGATCTCTTCAGAAACAGGTATTTCTTTTRTTAAAACTAGAAAACCACAAAGGTTCATTTTTGTGTAATCCATAARGATCAATGAATTTTCCACAGCTGTCAACTTAATTTAATGCACAGCTAAATCTAGAGCCCTGCTCTGAGAACATACAGCTTCTCATTAGTGACTATGGAAAGAGCCTCACTTTAAATCCTAACCACGCCTAAGTGACATGGGTGATAATTTAAGGCTGAACTTTGGAAGGAGGTGGTGGCATTTCTGTGAGCACAAAGGAATGYTACTCTAGAGGGGAGTTCAAAGCAGTTATCCCAAGGCTGTTGATGGTTTCCTGGGTTGAAGAAACAAAAGTTAGAACACCCAGCAGCCAGGAGGACTTGTTGGGCATGAGGGTGAGGGGTGTGGCTGACKGGATTGTGTTAGGGAGAGGTGTTCCTTCATGCAGTGGAAGACTCCACTCCTGGCCAATCCCACAAAATGTGCAGTGTTGTGCCATTTCTTCTTGGGCTCCTGATTCGGAGCTGTTAATTTTCTTGCTTGTCAGCGCTGGCAGTTCTGGTATTTTATCACACACTGGCATTATTAATACAAGAGAGTAGCAGGGCAACTTTGTCATCTTCTGATGTTCCAGTCTGGACTTAAGCACACAGGGATGATTTTTTTCAGCCCTGTTTTGCTATTTCCTGTTTAGCATAAGGACAATGAGAAAACAGCACAGGCCCTTGCAGGTCCCTGCTGTCCGGTTTTCTGTCTGCCCTTAGCACCATGGCTCCAGCTTCCTTGATCCTCTCTCTTCTGCTTCTGGCTCTTTATACCCTTCACTCCATACTTCTGTTTCAGGATTTTGCTTTTCAAATAAGCTATCTCTGAGCAAGTATCCTTTTCCTTGTGTGTGAAAGCTCTTCCCTAGAGGAATGCTGCCGATTACTACATCTGTGCATGCAGAGCCAACAGTTGTGAAAGGTGATTAGGTTAAAAAGGAAAATTAAAAAAAGAAATCTTACATAGCCATTGTCCAGATGCCTTAAATGTCTGTGGAAGAAATCTCACATGAAACACACACAAATTTTCTTTGAACTTCTTTAGAAAGCTTTTCAGAAAAGTAAGATTGCCATAAATTCTGCTAGAATTAGATAATCTGAAGATCTAAGGTGGGTAGGTTTCCTTTGAAGTCCAATAGCTCAAGTGTGTGCGTTTATGTATGTGTATGTATGTGTGTGTGCTTGTGTGGGTACAAAAAAAATTACTTTTTTCTTCAGTCTTCTTCCAATCATAGTGAACTTCTCTGTTTCAGAGATCTGAACATTGCCTTTATTTTGTCATATAGGAAATCAACTCAGAATTTATTTCAGTCTGGTGCTATRTTTGTTTATGATAAATTCTTAGCAGCGTCTGAAGTGGTTGCTTTTCCTTGTCTACTGGGCATGTCATTGCCCTGTTAAGAGCAGTCACGTCCTTTGAAAGACACTAATGGGCAGTGTCTGTAATGAAGAAACACGGAGCTACCATATATGACATTTTTGTTCAAGGAAAACTCAGATTAACTTCTGTTTCATAGTGAAGCTAGAGAGCTTCTACAGCAGCCTGGTGTATTGGCCCCTTTAAACTATTAATGCTAGAGTGCTGCTTTTAACTGCAAACAAACTTTGTTTATTAACATGTGTTTTGCAACAAAGCGGCTTGCTAATTATATGGTATGAAAAATGTAACTTTTATTATGAGATACCGTAAGTAAAACTCTTGGTAGCACAAAGTACTGGAAGAACTAGTTGTATGCAACTGTGAGTCGAATTGGAACTGTAATACGAAGAGGGGAAAAAAGTCTGTTCATTTTGTACAGTTTGGTAAATAAACACTGATGTGTATGTAGTAGGATGGAAATTATATTTCACGTGCTGTACTGTTTTGTTTAGAAGAGTGCACWTTCATTTAGATCCTTCATTTGGTGCAGGTCACATTACCTCTTCCTGGCTGGATTTTCTTCCTGCCTTGTGCAAAACTACTAGAACACAAGAAAAAATGCCCATTTATATGAAATTARGTATTTAAATAAAAGCGTTTGAACATGCACCATGTTTTAAAAACACCCAGTTAATCCTCTGGATTTGTTGCTGTTKCTCAACTGCAGTGCTTCATGCAGCTCTTTTTATTACCCCAGGACCTGTAAAAGGGGAGACTGAAACAGATCTGTTTAATTTTTCCAGAACTTGCATTTTCTGGAAGAATAGGATGGCAGTTCTGTGTTTTTTTACACTGAAGATTATTGAATCTGTCACATAATGCTGTTATTTAATGGTAAAGTCACGTCTGCTGCCACTAGTCCACTCCTTGATTAGTCCATTGGGTAGGGAAATGTTGCTAGTGGGTGTAGTGGTACCACAGATGCAGTCTACTTTATTATTTAAACTTACAACTTCAGTTTCTTCAAGTTAAAATACCCTCTGCTGCAGTTAGACACTTGCACAGCTTCTGACTATTCTGTGAAATTCAGTCACACAAAGCTGTGAGCCAGTGTCTAACTGAATAACTGGGCTGTCATTTAAACACATATATGTGGTAGATGAATATGGGAGGTAATGCAAAATAGGTAAACCCTATTTTTAAGGTTTTTTTAATTACCCAAAGTTGCCTTAACAGAATTGTAAAAACTGAATGCAAGAATATGATTTAGCTTTTTTGGGGCCTTCCATTCTAAATTTCATGTGSTTTCATGTGATGGTACTTCAAAATTGACTCTTTTTGTTGTGCTTTTTATTCAATGTATTACTATTTTGGAATCACATCTAACTGTTTTTTTCTCTCTTTTACAGACTGGACTTTCACATTCTTTTCACGAAAGAGGTTTCCAAATAGTTGTCTTGTAAAACTTTGAGAAGAAGTTCTATGTAGCTCTTACTTTCAAGAGTGCTGCAAAAATGATTACTTCAGATTTGCCAGTACTACAGTGAGTATATGCTTCTCTCTGTATTTGAAATCTTTGCTTTTAAAAAGGTTGACATAAACAGAGAGGTGATTGTGAGGATGAAGCACAAGCTTGAGAGAAATTCAGATTTCTGTGACTGTTCCAGACCTTCTGTGTTTTCATATGCTGAAAAACCGTGTAAAATTTARTCTAAAAGATACTTCTTTCTGTGTATGGAGATTTTAACTTTGCTGTGTAAAACCAAACAAGGTCTTCGCTACTTTTATGCTTCTGAATGTTGTGAGACTTCAACAGCACACTATTGGTTTTGGTCGTAATTGACCACATTGTGTATTCCAGTTGTGTACCTTCTCACAACRAGCTGAATTTATTGTGCAAAAAGCCTTTGCCTGCTGCAGCTGAAGGCTGCATGTGGCATGGACCTGTTTTGGTCCTGCTGGGAAATAGGAGAGGCTAATACCCGTTGTAACATGGCTGTGCTTGGATAAAGTGAGCTACTGGAAGAACAGAGTGGAAGTTTGTAATAGGAGGAGCTGGAGAGCAAATAAGATAGAGTTAAGAAGGAATTTTAGAGAGAAGAACCTGCTGCCCTCTTCACAGGGCGGGGAGAGAACACAAGGTRAAGAAGCTCATGGGGTGAGGTAATGAAATAACAACAGAGCAAATGGGCRTGGTTTGGAGAAAATTAATTTATTGCTGATTAAAAAATACGTGGATGATGGTGAGAGACAAAGACAAAACCCACCAGGTGTTCCTTTTGCCCCTCCTCTTACCCCAGCTCACCTTCAACCTTACATCCGATCCCATCCC